TTTCCTCTGGATTCCACAATCATCTGCATTTACCTTTATCTTTTTTTTTTTTTTTAGCTTTTTGTAAATTGAAGTATATTTGATGTACAATATTGTGTAAGTTACAGGTGTACAACATAGTGATTCACAATTTTTAAAAGTTACACTCCATTTACAGTTATTATAAAATATTGGCTGTATTCCCTGCATTGTGGAATATATCCTTGTAGCATACTTACTTTATACATAGTAGTTTGTACCTATTAATCCCCTGCCCCTATCTTGTCCCTCGCCTGTTCCCTCTCCCCACTGGTAACCACTGGTTTGTTTTCTGTATCTGAGTCTGTTTCTTTTTTGTTATATTCACCATATTAAAAAATACGACAATAAAAAAATTTTGTGTTATTTTTCAGATTCTACGTAGAAATGATATCATACAGTATTTATCTTTCTCTGTCTGACTTATTTCACTTAGCGTAATACCCTCCAAGTCCATCCATGTTTCTGCAAATGGCAACTTTTCTTTTTTTATGACTGAGTAATATTCCATTGAATATTATCTTCTTTAGCCATTCATCTGTTGATGGACACTTAGGTTGCTTCCATATCTTGGCAATTGTAAATAATGCTACTGTGAACACTGTATCTTTTCGAATTAGTGTTTTTGTTTTTTTCAGATGTATGCCCAAGAGTGAAATTGCTCTGTCATGTGTGGTAATTCTATTTTTAGTGTTTTGAGAAACCTCCATACAGTTTTCCACAATGGCTGCAATGTGTAGGAGTGTTCCCTTTTCTCCACATCCTCTCCAAAACTTGCCTTTTGTTTTCTTTTTGATGATAGTTGTCTTGCTATGTGTGAGGTGATATACCATTGCAGTTTTGATTTGCATTTCCCTGATGGTTAGTGATGTTGAGCATCTTTTCATGTGTCTCTTGGCCATCTGAATGTCCTCTTTAGAAAAATGTCTATTCAGGTCCTCTTTCCATTTTTATAATCAGGTTGTTTGTTTTTTGATGATGAGTTGCATGAGCTGTTTATATGTTTCATATCAACCCCTTATCTGTCATATCATTTGCAAATATTTTCTCCAATTCAGTAGGTTGTCTTTTTGTTTGCTTATGGTTTCCTTTGCTCTGCAAAAGTTTTTAAGTTTAATTAGGTCCCATTTGTTTATTTTTGCTTTTATTTCCTTTGCTTTAGGGGATACATCAAAAAAAATACTATTACAATTTATGTCAAAGAGTGTTCTATCTATGTTTTCCTCTAGGAGTTTTATGGTTTATGTCTTACGTTTGGGCCTTTAATCCATTTTGAGGGTTTTTTGGGGTTTTTGAGGTTTTTTTTTTTTTTTGTATATGGTGTGAGGAAATGTTCTAATTTCATTCTTTATATGTATCTGTTCAGTTTTCCCAGTACCACTTATTGAAGAGACTGTCTTTTCTCCACTGTATATTCTTGACTCTTTTGTCATATGTTAATTGATCATAAGTGCATGGGTTTATTTCTGGACTCTCTGTTCTATTCCATTGATCTATTTTTCTGTTTTTGTACCAGTACCATACTGTTTTGATTACTGTAGCTTTGTAGTATAGTCTGAAGTCAGGAAACCTAACTCCTCCAGCTCTGTTCTTCTTTCTGAAGATATTATTGGCTATAGGGGATCTTTTGTGTTTCCGCACACATTTTAAAGTTATTTGTTCCTGTTCTATGAAAAATACCCTTGGTATTTTGATAGGGGTTTCACTGAATCTGTAGATTGCCTTGGGTAGTATGGTCATCTTAACAGTATTAATTCTTCCAGTACAGGAATGTGGTATATCTTTCATCTGTTTGTGTCGTCCTCAATTTCTTTCATTAGTGTCTTATAGTTTTCCAAGTACAGGTCTTTTACATCCTTAGGTAGCTTTATTCCTAGGTAGTTTTGTTCCAGTTTTTATTCTTTTCGAGGTGATGGTAAATGGGATTGTTTCCTTAATATCTCCTTCTGATAGTTCATTATTAATACAGAAATGCAACAGATTTCTGTATATTAATTTTGTATCCTGAAACTTTACTGAATTCATTGATTAGCTCTATTAGTTTTCTGGTGTTGTCTTTAGGATCTTCTGTGTATGGTATCATGTCATCTGCAAACAGTGACAGTATTACTTCTTTCTTTTCAATTTGGATTCCTTTTATTATTTTTTTCTCTGATTGCAGAAGCTAGGACTTCCAAAGCTATGTTAAATAAACATAACAAGAGTGGACATCCTTGTCTTGTTACTGATCTTAGAGGAAATGCTTTCAGCTTTTCACCATTGAGTGTGATGTTAGCTATGGGTTTGTCATATATGGCCTTCATTATGTCGAGGTATATTCCCATTTATGCCCATTTTCTGGAGAGTTTTTGTCATAAATGGATGTTGAAGTTTGTCAAAAGCTTTTCTGCATCTATTGATAATGATCATATGGTTTTTATTCTTCAATTTGTTAATGTGGTGTATCACATTGATTTGCAGATTTTGAAAAATCCTTGCATCTGTGGGACAAATCCCACTTGATCATGGTGTATGATTCTTTTAATGTACTGTTGGATTCAGTTTGCTAGTATTGTTGCTGAGGATTTTTGCATCTGTGCTCATCAGTGATATTGGCCTGAATTTTCTTTTTTGTGTGATATCTTTGTCCGGTTTAGGTATCGGGGAGAGGCTGAACTCATGGAAAGAGTTTGGAAGTGTTCCCTCTCCTGCAATTTCTTTGGAATAGTTTGAGAAGGATAGGTATTAACTCTTCTCTAAATGTTTGGTAGAATTCATCTGTGAAGCCATCTGATCTTCAACTTTTGTTTGTTGGGAGTTTTTTAACTATGGATTCAATTTCATTACTGGCAGTCGGTCTGTTCATATTATCTATTTCTTCCTGGTTCAGTCTTGGGAGATTGTACATAGTTCTAAGAATTTGCCCATTTCTTCTAGGTTGTCCATTTTCATGGCATATAGTTGTTCATAGTAGTCTTTTACGCTCTTCTGTATTTTTGTGGGGTTGGTTGTAATTTACCTTTTCCATTTCCGGTTTTATTGATTTGGGCCCTCTCTCTTTCTTTCTTAATGAGTCTGGCTAAAGGTTTATCAATTATGCTTATCTTTCCAAAGAACCAGCTGTTAGTTTCATTGATCTTTTCTATTTTTTTTTTCTTTTTTTTTTTTTTTTAGTCTCTAATTTGTTTATTTCTGCTCTGATCTTTATTATATCGTTCCTTTTACTAACTTTGGCTTTTGTTTGTTCTTCTTTATCTAGTTCCTTTAGGTGTAAGGGTAAGTTGTATTTTTTTTGTTTGTTTTGTTTTTTTTGCGATACGTGGGCCTCTCACTGTTGTGGCCTCTCCCGTTGCGGAGCACAGGCTCCGGACACGCAGGCTCAGCAGCCATGGCTCATGGGCCCAGCCGCTCCGTGGCATGTGGGATCTTCCCGGACCGGGGCACGAACCCGTGTCCCCTGCATCGGCAGGTGGACTCTCAACCACTGCACCACCAGGGAAGCCCAAGGATAAGTTGTTTACTTGAGATTTTTCTTGTTTCCCGAGGTAGGCTTGTATTGCTATAAACTTTCCTCTTAGAACTGCTTTTGCTGAGTCCCAGAGATTTTGAATGATTGTGTTTCCATATTCATTTTTCTCCAGGTATTTTTTATTTCCTCTTTGATTTCTTCAGTGATACCTTGGTTGTTTAGTAGCATATTGTGTAGCCTCCACATGTTTAGGTGTTTTTAAAAATTTTTTTTGCAGTTTTTTCTTGTAGTTGATTTCTATGTATATATCTTTAATATGGAGAGTTTTAGAACTACTTTGAAATTTGGGGTTAATCTTTCTACCTTTACTGTTATTTTCTTTGTGGCAACTTCATCTGTGCAGTCAGAATGGCCTAAATCTGGACCTGGGACTCCCGCAGTTACCTCTATGTAAAGGAGAGGGGTGCCTTTCTAGGTGGGAATGAGAGCAGATAGAGGAGCAGGATTTCTAACCCAAAGCCCTGCTCTACCACCTACTAGCACAGAGCAGCACCAATTCCTCAGTTTCCTCATCTGTAACATGGAAATAATTCTAGTATGCGCCACATGTGTTTCTTGTGAGTATTGATGAATGAACATATGAAAATTACTTAGAACAGTGATTGGCACATAATATTCCCTCAAAACTGTTAGTTATTGGTATTTCTGTTTTGTGAGATTATTGTAAGGATTAAAGGGACAGTAGATAAACCACAGCACCGTGCCTTATGCACAGTAAATTCTCAATACAGTCTAGCTTTTGATTTGTCATTATTGCCTGTACTAAATACAACAGTTAAATAAGTCAAAATAGTGAAGAAAATGTTGTGTTTCAAAGATAGGAGTTTCATGAAATGGACTCAAATTTGTGCCAACAATGTGCATAATTTCAGGCTCTCTTATCTTAGGTTAAAAGATATGAAGGTTCAATAATGTTGCAATGGATAGATTTTATTAGTGTCAATGATGAAATAATAATAATCACTGCAGGCTTTTAAATATTATGAAGTGTTTTTAAATATATCATCTCATGGGGCCTTAAAGTGACAATGTTAACCCCAGGCAGTATCTAGCAATCTAAGGGCTATTTGATCATTTAAGCTTCCCGGATTATTATCATCCTGGTCACATAATAGACATTGTGTCCTTTCTATCATAGGCTATTCAAGGGTTGCCTATTTGTTCCCAAGGCAAATTGAACCATTCCCCTCAAAAGTTTACAGTAAATAGAATAGCAACTTCTGGAATCATCTTCCTCTCTCACAAATGAAGAAACAGCAAAGTGGTACAGCATCTCAGCTGTTCCAAGTTCCTCAAATCAGTTTTACTTTTGCAAAACCGGCCCTCCGACTTCCTATATCCTGTGAGCTGCCTTACGAGCAACATGACCGGCAGCCACATTTGTTGTAATTTTTTAAATATGTGGAAAAAAAGCAAGATATCGACCATGTATTACCTTAACCAAGATGCCAAATTATCTAACTTGTTTCTCCAGGCGAGCAGCCCGACCACAGGAACCGCTCCCAGGAGCCAGTCAAGGTTGTCTGTCTGTCCATCCACTCAGGACATCTGCAGGTAAGTGCCCAGCAAATGATCCCATTTGGTGTGTTTTTAGACCAGTGCTTTGTACTCTTGCTGTGTTTGCTGAGACTGTGTGACTCTTGCCTCTGCCTTACATTGTCCGTGGATAATTTATACCAGTCTAATTTTTCTCCCTTAGTGCATTTCCCTCATTTGATCTTTATTTACCAACTTTGGGTCCGTGCTGTCATTTTCATCGCTCTCTCTCTCTGTTTTCCCATGGCTTTCCTCTCCATTCCCATTCTCCATCCTTCGCCTGCTGCTTTGTCTAGATCTGCCATCTTACATGACATGTCAGAAGCCTCATTTGAGCAAAGCACCCCTGTCGTGGTGCTGAGCCCTGCTAGGAAGGAGTCTGGTAAGAAGTCAGTAAAACAGAGGCCTAGGAGGAAGAGGAGGGCTGCTCTGAGGTATGAGCACACAGAAGAACAAGTGAAAGGGAGAAGAAAGGATTTTCACCTCCAAATCCCCAGCCACCGATGGAGTGAGACTGACACAGATTCTTCAGATTCATCGTCCACCGATGAGAGTCACTGGATTCAGGCAAAACGAAGAGCCCAAGTGAAGTTCCGCCTGTCTCGGAGAAGGAGAAATAAGAAACCAAGTGGAAGCTTGGATGAGTCTTCCGCTCCTAATGAAATCCATCCAGTACATTTAGGATCCAAAGATAAAAAGCGCCCGGAGCTGACCGAGTGTGAGAGCTACTCTTTAAATCTCCACAGAGGAAAAGGCACAACATACCAAGGATGCAGTGTTTCCCTGCCAAGACGGTCCTCTGACATTAAGAGACCGTCAAGGAAGGGTGAGGAAAGCAGAGGCAGGTACCACCACAGGGATCCTCGGCTCTTGCACAGTCCTGGGCAAAATGAAACAATCAAGAGAATGTTTTCAGAGACAGATTCCAGCACTGACATGCTGGCAGTCAAAGAAGGTGGCAAGCCTGTGGAGGATGCAGGATTCCTTCAGAAGCCTCCTGCCACCTACCATGATGGGTCTGATCATTTAAAAGCATGCAGGTCAGTCACTCCAGAGAAAGACTTGATTACATCCAACTATATCTCCTCCTGCTGTGAATTACGTGTGTGTGTGTGTCACCTACCCTCAAAACATAACCTTTATTCATACTGTTATTTGTCCAATTGGATATAGGGTGATAAAACGAGCAAAGGGCTGGGAAGAACAATGCACAAGTATCCATGGGTTTGAATGCTGTTCCAGAATACAGTTAGATTTTCCCCTCCCCCTTCTTTCAACTGAATAATGACTTATCCTGGCCAAAAAACTGACAAACCAATTGAGTCCTATCCCTACTCCCGGTAAGACAAGAATTGTGGAAGAAACATGAGTGAGAGCGTGAAACTTTAGACTCCTCAGTGCAAATCTGGTGAACTGTTAGCACTCCGACAGAGGATATTCAGGGCTTGGGGGGTTTAAGGTCAGATTTTTGTATCAGAAAAATTTCCTCTGCAGTTGGTGCTAATTTGTTCTCCAGTTATCTGACTCAGCAGGATAATTCGAGACTGAAAGGGCACAGAAACAAGTCACGGACATGTCTGCGGGGTTGCTGGGGCCTTCGGGGAAGGAGACCACATTAACTTTGGTGATAATTGTGTACTAAAAGTTTTCAATGTGTAGACAATTCATAGCTATGAGACTGCTTGTTTGCACTTTTTACCCGACTGGATACAATTTTCAAAATAACCTAAAATTTAAAAGAATGATGTAACTATCCAGGCTAGTGTGCACAAATAAGACAATGTTAAACAAAACAAATATTTTGGATTTTCCTGTTACACCCAGCCATTTTAGTTGCTTGGGAGCAAGTGATGTTTTTGTTGCATAATGCTTGGTTTTGGGGGCTTATTTTTATGAAAGTTGAAGTTATTTTATAAAACATGTATGTTTCGTGTGAATCACGTGACCCAGAGAACACCTCCTATGTACATTCAGGGCAGGACGAGAAGGAGGATTAAGCTCTGGATGTAAATGATATTGTAATGGTTTGTTCCTCTGAAAGTTTTATGAAATAGTCGTTCATAAAATGTTCGTTCATTTATTCACTCAGGCGTTTATAATGCATCAGGCACTGAAACTATTACAGTGCCTAAGATTTGTAGGGTCTCTGACATCTAGAGCTTACAATCTGATGGGAATAACAGACACGAAAGCTCTTTCACAGTTAGTTACAATTGTGATAAGGAATGTAGGAGCTTATAATGTGGAAGGTTTACCTATGCTGGGAGATCAGAGAAGGACTCTCTTAAGGAATTGACAAGCTGACTGAGGCTCAAGCATGACAGGAACTGATCAAGGAAAGAGCAGGGAAGGCCATCCAGGCAGCATGCCAGCAGGGTTCCAGGGAACTGAGAGCTGAATGCTGCTGGGGGCGGGGTGGGGGGGTGGGGGGGGCAGGTGGTGGAGCTGAGGCTAGAGAGGTGGAGAGCGCCCTGTAAAACACGCTAAGTGGTTTAAAACAGAAGTGACACCATTTGACTTAGATACTAATACGAGTTAAGTTTCTTGTAATCTTTTGACTATGATTTAAGTGTGACTTTGCTAAAATGTCTGGGGATGGACTAAAACACTATTTCTAGTCTAGATGAAGAACTCCCCAGTCACAGACATCTGTGGTCATTCCCCAAATCTACTTCCAGAGTAATTTAATGAAAGAGAGTCAGAAAAGCTAGTTGTAGGCTTAACGGTAATTGGAGAAAAAAGTAATGATTGTAATTAAAGTCATAGTGGCTGGCTCTCTGAAGTTAAAAGCACTGCTCTGGAGGAACATTTTCAAAGACAGAATATTTAACATAGACTTCTATTAATGAAAGTGAGATCGATGGACCTATAGTTTCTATTTCTTACTGTGGGTTATCGTCAAAATACACCCACTAAGCAAATCCTATGAGCTGTATATTATACTGGGAGCTGAGGATAATGTGACAGAAGACTTGATTCTTCCCTTAAGTGGCCTGTTTTCTAGTGGAAGAAATCAAATGTATACCCGAAAAGATGAATGTTCAAGATAGCACAGGGTAAGTTTAAGAAGGGGAATACTACAGGAATTTGAAGAAAGAAAAATTGCTGAGAGCTGACATAATCCGGGAACCCCTTGAGAGGTGGGATTGGGGCTGAGAAAAGGAGAAGCTAGCCTGGCAGAGATGCACAGCCTGCATCCAGGCCCTCAAGGCAGGGCCCAGGCAGGGACTAGGGAATGCCACTGTGCACCTGGGAACTCTTTGTGAACTGTGTGACTGGGTTAGAAGGTTTGCATAGATGGATAACTAGAATATTTTTTAAAAAGACATTGTGAAGAAAACATGCATATCCTTCCAAGGAGCTTAACTCTGTTCCGTGCACCCCTGTTTTCAAACTGCCTTTCTGAGCCTCTGGGTGCCAAAGAGGCTGCCGAGGACAGTTCAAGGCAATTGTGTTCCCGTTAGCCCATCTTTAACCAGAGGGTTGGGGTTCTATATGACATTCCTTTAAGGAAAAAAAAGAAGATTCCACTGTAAAAAAATAATGTAGAAGAGCCTTTGCTGGCTTGATGAAGAACAACTCGTAAGAGTAGTCACAGTGACGCCAGTGATGTACTGGAGAGGGACCTAGATTGAGGAGGAGGAGTGGTGATGTGGTGGAAGCAGCCTCCTTCAGGATGAGTAGGATGAGGATGGTAAAGGGGAACGAAAGGGAGGAACAAATGGCATGCAAGCATTTGCATCCCCCCAGGTGAGTGGGATCCCCCCAGGTGAGCAGGGTTCCCCGCCCCCCCCCCGCCCCAGTCCCCCAGGCCATCAGGAGCAATCTTAGTGCTTGCAGTCGGTGAGGGCAGAAGACAAAGAAGTCAAGAAAGACTCCAGACCTTGGAAGCTGGGAGGTGGTAAAAGCCGATGTTACTGACAGAGGCAGAGGAGGTCAGAGGCCAGTTGGTTAGGGAAAGACACGATGAGTTTAATTGCAGGCAGGCTATTTGTGGTGACGGTGCCGTCCCAGGGTCGGCTGTCGAGCAGATAACGTGAGTCACGTCACTGAAATGCAGGAGGGCAGTCACGGCTGGGTCTGTGTGATTTTTCAGGCAGTAGTGAACTATATACACAGACCAACACTAAAGAGCTTCATGTTTGCAATGGTCATTAGCGTCGTGTATGAGCACAGGGCAATCGCATCAAGATATTAAAAACGAAAACCTCAAGGTCACGGAGGACATATAGATTTGGATATCATTCTCAGGGAGGTGACTGAGATGCCTGGAAAGTGAATGAAGCCTCTATATGAGATCGTGTGTAGGAAAAAAGCCTCTGTATAGACCCAGCCCGAGCACCAGGGTCCCCTGCGTACGGAGGAAGATGAACTCGCACTCCTGCCGCTTGACATGGACAGGCAGGATGAGTCTCAGCTACAACCACAAAGCAGAAGCTCCTAAGCCCTTCTTCCTTTTTTCTTCCTGGCATTTAGTCCCACAGGGACGCTCTACCCACTCTTGACCCTCATCAAAGCCTCGCGCAGAGAAAGTTTCTCTACTACCTTCCTAGAACTTAGAGGGAATTTAAATCATCATGCTATCACACCCACACTTGTGGAGTAGGAAAGGCTTTGCCTTTTTTTAATAGAAAATTTACATTAAAAAAAATCATGTTAGCTCATGCATGAAACTTGTCAGTAGCCTCTTAGTTGCCGTCAGTGGCAAGTTCAAAATCTTTAATAGGATTTACAAGGACCTGCATGATCTATCTGACCTGCCTACCCAGCTTCAACAGCATTATTAACAATGACCTACTCATGCCAGTCTGTCTTCAGGTCTCTGAAAGAGCTAGGCCTGTCCCTTTCAGGGCCTGGGATGCCTTCACATTACCTGCTCTGCCCTTCACCAGGCTAACTCCTGGTCATTCTTTCTTGATTTAAATATCATTTCTTTAGGGAAACTTTTGTAATTCCCTAACTGACACTCAGGTCCCCTTCACTTCCACAGCATCATTTTTTTTTAATTTTATTGGAATATAGTTGATTTACAATGTTGTGTTAGTTTCAGGTGGACAGCATTGTGATTCAGTTACCATAGCATAATTTTTAATTGCCAACATCTATGTATTTTTGTGTTTGACGGTATCAGGTTTGCTCCCTGCAGCATCCAAAGTGCCTGGAACAGTGCCTCAACATACAGTTTTTGCTCCCTGCAGCATCCAAAGTGCCTGGAACAGTGCCTCAACATACAGTTTTTGATTGAATAGATTTAGGGAAAATAAATTTTTTGAAGGGGGTCATTCTTCCTGTGTGAAATCATAGCAGTAAGTGGTAGATTACCTCTCCTGCAGTGGAGTCCCATGTAAAGAATATTCTTCACGAGCAGCTGGTGGATATCAGTATCAGCTATGGGGCCTGTAAAAGGCAGACCACTGTCCCCACCCCCAGCGATTCTGATGCCCTTCCTCTGGGGTTGTGCCCATGACTTTGCATTTCTAAAACATTCCCAAGTGATACAGATGCAGTTGATCCAGGGACCACGTTTTGAGAACCGCTGTTCGATGCTACAGATTCTCCCTGGGCTTTCTGTGGGAGAGGCTGAGCTTGGGAAGCATAATTAGAGTTTTCTGTCATCCTCTGCCGAGTGCTGACACACAAAGCACCAAATCGGATCACTTTCCTGTATTTCATGCTGTCATACCAGCGTGGGACAGGTCATCAAGCTAAAACCATAGACTGACAAAGTCCCAACTTTACCAGGAACTCAGCTGTCATGGTTTGACTATTGTTTCCCTTCAAACACACTTCCTCATCTCATCTATACCCACTTCTGTCAGTGAGTTCACAGATCCCCTGAATTCCAGTTTTGGCAATGTTTTCTTCTCATTGGGTATATCTGGTCCCAACCAAGTTCTGCCACTTCCTCCAGATACTGCTTTGATCTGGGTCTTCTTACCCGTTACCACCATCCCTTTGTGACTCTACTCTACACATCTATTCTCTCTCCACATCCACCGTTTACCCCCCGTTTTGGTCAGGACTCGTCTCTCAGGTTAAG